CTCCTCCACCCACAATGTGTCCCTCCCCCACCCACAATGTGTCCCTCCTCCACCCACAATGTGTCCCTCCTCCACCCACAATGTGTCCCTCCCCCACCCACAATGTGTCCCTCCCCCACCCACAATGTGTCCCTCCTCCACCCACAATGTGTCCCTCCCCCACCCACAAAGTGTCCCCCCCCCACCCACAATGTGTTCCTCCCCCACCCACAATGTGTCCCTCCTCCACCCACAAAGTGTCCCTCCCCCACCCACAAAGTGTCCCACCCCCCACCCACAATGTGTCCCTCCTCCACCCACAATGTGTCCCTCCCCCACCCACAATGTGTCCCTCCTCCACCCACAATGTGTCCCTCCCCCACCCACAAAGTGTCCCTCCCCCACCCACAAAGTGTCCCCCCTCCACCCACAATGTGTCCCTCCCCCACCCACAAAGTGTCCCCCCCCCCCACCCACAAAGTGTCCCTCCTCCACCCACAATGTGTCCCCCCTCCACCCACAATGTGTCCCTCCCCCACCCACAATGTGTCCCTCCTCCACCCACAATGTGTCCCTCCCCCACCCACAATGTGTCCCTCCCCCACCCACAAAGTGTCCCTCCCCCACCCACAATGTGTCCCTCCCCCACCCACAATGTGTCCCTCCTCCACCCACAATGTGTCCCTCCTCCACCCACAATGTGTCCCTCCTCCACCCACAATGTGTCCCCCCTCCACCCACAAAGTGTCCCTCCCCCACCCACAATGTGTCCCTCCCCCACCCACAATGTGTCCCTCCTCCACCCACAATGTGTCCCTCCCCCACCCACAATGTGTCCCTCCTCCACCCACAATGTGTCCCTCCCCCACCCACAAAGTGTCCCTCCCCCACCCACAAAGTGTCCCTCCCCCACCCACAAAGTGTCCCCCCTCCACCCACAATGTGTCCCTCCCCCACCCACAGTGTCCCTCCTCCACCCACAATGTGTCCCTCCCCCACCCACAATGTGTCCCTCCCCCACCCACAATGTGTCCCTCCCCCACCAACAAAGTGTCCCTCCCCCACCCACAAAGTGTCCCCCCCTCCACCCACAATGTGTCCCTCCCCCACCCACAAAGTGTCCCCCCCCCCCACCCACAAAGTGTCCCTCCTCCACCCACAATGTGTCCCCCCTCCACCCACAATGTGTCCCTCCCCCACCCACAATGTGTCCCTCCTCCACCCACAATGTGTCCCTCCCCCACCCACAATGTGTCCCTCCTCCACCCACAAAGTGTCCCTCCCCCACCCACAATGTGTCCCTCCCCCACCCACAATGTGTCCCCCCTCCACCCACAATGTGTCCCCCCTCCACCCACAATGTGTCCCTCCTCCACCCACAATGTGTCCCCCCCTCCACCCACAATGTGTCCCTCCCCCACCCACAATGTGTCCCTCCCCCACCCACAATGTGTCCCTCCCCCACCCACAAAGTGTCCCCCCTCCACCCACAATGTGTCCCCCCCCCATCCACAATGTGTTCCTCCTCCACCCATAATGTGTTCCTCCTCCACCCACAATGTGCCCCCCATCCACAATGTGTTCCTCCTCCACACATAATACAATGTTTGTACACAACCCATTGGGGACGGTCACAGAGCCTTCTGTGATAAAGACAAAGATCCCCCCTATAGCCTTAACAGACTGTTGGGGCAAGTGCTGTTAGTGAGCACCTAAGAAGGCCGGGCACTGCACACGAGGGGGTGGGTGACCAGCAACCACGCCCAGCCGCCTTTGTATCCCCCAGTGCTGATCATGTTTACACACCGCACCAGGTACTCATACGAGGCTGAGTCGACCTAGGCAAGGCCCATCACTGGTCGTCGGGGGCCGTCCATAAATGACGTCACGCGATTTTGGACGATTTTTTCACCCCCCCCCCCCCTCGGCACACGGCGTCACAAAAAGTCACACCCTCCCCCTCAAATATGACGTCACAAACCTCTGCCCCCGCCCCCTTCAAAAAATAAAACATGCTTCAAATCGCTTTAAACTATTGTCATTGTAGTGCGTATTTAATGTGCCGCTGCACTCTGATGTTGTTGGAGAAAACATTTATTAAAAAGTCTATTTAATTAATTAGAACGTGTTGCCTATATTTATTTAAAGTTGCGCATTTTGATGTGACGTCACATTTCTCAAACCCCCACCCCACAGGTGCGTGACGTCATTTATGGACGGCCCCTCACCTATGTTAGCCGTGAGCTGGATTCGAACTCTGACCCGCCGGGTTCGTAGCGCGCCGCGCTCACCACTGCTACGAGTTCGGAGCCTTCTGGAGGCGCCGCATTCTAAATCAGCAGCATTGCTTCGATGCAAGCCAACCAAACCTGCGGCCCCGATGGTCTCGCTGCTGATGAGACCACCGAACGTCTAAGCGTGAGCACGCACGTGTCGCGCCCGTGGGGTGCGAGGCGTCCCTTCATTTTGATATTAATTGTATCCACTACGCCGCTCAAATCGTTCGTGCAATCGATCCTGTCTCGTCCGTACCCCCCAATCGATGTTTAGCTCTGTCTGGCCCGTGATGTCTGCACCGTCCGTGTATCGTGGCTAGCGACTGCGGTGTGTGATCCCTCTTTAACACGTTGTAGGTCGTGGCGCCATTCACACCGAGGCCTCGCAGCGCCTTTACAAGACAATCCCAGCAGCAACAACAACAAAAAACCCCTTGAACATTAAAACCGAAAGGAAAACAACCCTGAACGCAGACGGATATGTAGGAGAAAATAAATGTGTTGGGGAGTGCCAAAAAACCTAGGCTGACGGAGTCGTATCTAACAGAAAACTACATCACCCATTCTCTTACTTTCTCCTTGGTAACCTACTCAGGTAGGCACTGTTGTTATCTTTGTCCTTGGTAACCAACTCAGGTAGACACTGTTGTTATATTTGTCCTAGGTACAGGTAACAACTCAGGTAGGCACTGTTATCTTTGTAGTAGGTAACAACTCAGGTAGACACTGTTGTTATCTTTGTCGTAGGTAACAACTCAGGTAGACACTGTTGTTATCTTTGTAGTAGGTAACCAACCCAGGTAGGCACTGTTGTTATCTCTGTCCTAGGTAACCAACTCAGGTAGACGCTGTTGTTATCTCTGTTCTAGGTAACCAACTCAGGTAGGCACTGTTGTTATCTTTGTCCTTGGTAACCAGCTCAGGTAGGCACTGTTGTTATCTTTGTAGTAGGTAACAACTCAGGTAGACACTGTTGTTATCTTTGTCCTAGGTAACAACTCAGGTAGACACTGTTGTTATCTTTGTAGTAGGTAACCAACTCAGGTAGGCACTGTTGTTATCTCTGTCCTAGGTAACCAACTCAGGTAGACGCTGTTGTTATCTCTGTTCTAGGTAACCAACTCAGGTAGGCACTGTTGTTATCTTTGTCCTTGGTAACCAGCTCAGGTAGGCACTGTTGTTATCTTTGTAGTAGGTAACAACTCAGGTAGACACTGTTGTTATCTTTGTCCTAGGTAACAACTCAGGTAGACACTGTTGTTATCTTTGTAGTAGGTAACAACTCAGGTAGACACTGTTATCTTTGTAGTAGGTAACCAACTCAGGTAAACACTGTTATCTTTGTAGTAGGTAACTCAGGTAGACACTGTTGTTATCTTTGTCCAAGGTATCAACTCAGGTAGACACTGTTGTTATCTTTGTCCTAGGTATCAACTCAGGTAGACACTGTTGTTATCTTTGTCCTTGGTAACAACTCAGGCAGACACTGTTATCTTTGTCCTTGGTAACCAACTCAGGTAGACACTGTTGTTATTTCCTGTCTCGTGAGTAACGTCCTGAACACTCTTCCGCGTCTCGTCTGTTGTTGTTGTTGGATTGGTGAGTTCCGTCTTGTCTCTACAATGCCTTTATTATCGTCCGTGCTCAACCGTCTTGTTTGTTGTTGTGACGTTATGACCCCGTGCCCCCTTACTGGACATGTGGGATTAAAAAGAGCTTACTTGCTCATCGGATTCCTCCAGTTTACATTCATATTCCGACTTCATACGTTCCGCTTCACGTGATGATGGGCCCTGCTGTCACGTGTGTAGCGCACGGACTGTCCGTCTCGTCCGGAGCCGAGTTCCTACCGTCTCAATCACCTACCACCTCGTGTGTTTACCTACCACCTCGTGTGTTTGTGTGTCGATCTGTCCCCTCTCGTCTGCCGCGTGTCCCGTAGAGTGACCGTGCCGGTGTGACTCCCAACGCTGATTTGTTCTGTCTGACGTGTGGCAGGCACCCACCACGTCTGCCCGTCTCGTCACTTTGAGCCCCAGCTCACTCTTGCAACCGTAGATTCAAGTTGCATTGATTAGGTAGATCCCTGTGAGCCATGTGGCTCTTTGAGTCTGGTGCAACCGCAAAGAAACTAAATATTAACAGAGAACATCTTAAAGCGACGACGACACGCAAACAGAAACATCCTGGGATAAACCAGCACATCTTCCAGGAGAAAACCCCCCACCGTGTTACAACGTTGTGTGCAAAAATCCCAGTGTGATGCAAGTCAAACACTGACAACCACAAGACAATTTGGATTCAAGTTACCAGGCCAACTCCGCTGATGACCACCATCCTCGTCTCGCGGGTTCTCACCCGGGTAAACAACAACAAAACAACAACACTCCACAAACTCGTACGGCTCTGCCTCGCCTGTACGTCTGTCTATTCAATGTATTGATTACTTGGTGATTCGCTCACTTTCTGATACCCGTGCCCCTCCTCCTAATGGGCATTTAAACAAAAAAAAGCTTCGTAGCTCATCGGATTTCTCCAGGATTCGATATTTGCATTGCGATTTCCGCTCCAACAATCGATCACAACCCTCATCGATTACCGACCGCGCGAGTCCACGAACGCGGACGAACGGCGCGACGATCGATTCGTCGCATTCAGCGCGGCCCCAAATCGATTAATCGGTTCCGGATCACGATCGGCTCGGGTCGCACGCGCGCTCGCTCGAGGGCCCGTGGGTGAACTCACGTTGCCTGCAGAGGCGGTGACGACGGCGATGATTTGAAGACGACGACGACGACGATGAAGACGACAACGACGCGGTCCGTCTTGATGATGAATCGTGACGAGCGGGGTCACGAGGGGTCACGGCGGGGGGCGGGGCGGGCGGGGGGGCAGCAGCGAGGAGGAGAAGGCGCGACGACGCACGGGCCCCGGCGCGCGCCGCTGCCGTGTCGCGCGCCGCGTGACGTCACTGCCGGCCCGCCGTCTACTGTCACCGCCCCTTCCCCCCCATCTCCCCCCCCCCCCTTTTACTCCGCCCCTCCCCCCTTTTCGCCGCCCCTCCCCGCTTTGCCCCGCCTCTCCCTATTACCCCTCCCCCCATTACCCCCGCCCCCCTCCCCCCATTACCCCTCCCCCCATTACCCCCGCCCCCCTCCCCCCATTGCCCCCGCCCCCCTCCCCCCATTACCCCTCCCCCCATCACCCCTCCCCCCATCCTCCCTCCCACCACGAGTCCGTCGCGACAACCCCAAGCCAAAAGAAAAAAAAGATCCGGCTGGAAACAATGCGACTCCCCCCCCCCAACCCTAAGAAGTTAGGTTCTGCAAGCATTAAGTTCCGGCTTTGACTTCTTTTTAATTTTCGATTTAAAGCTTTCGTGACTGCAGGGATTGATCTTCTTGGTTCTTTCGGTGAAGTCACGTAGAATGGAAATAATATTCTTTTTAATTATTCTTAGGTTTTTTCGGTAAAGTCACGTAGGTAAAAAATTTAAATTAATAAAAGTAGAATAAAAATAAAAATCACGACGTTTCGGAGGCAACACAAGCTTCCGTCTTCAGGTGGAACCGTCACAGCACGATAGCTGTATCTTTTTAATGATACGTTATGACGATTTATCAAATTCATTTGGCGATTCTGCTGCGTTGCCAGTAAAGCACAAACCATCTCAATACATTTGTTAATGACACTGTGGCCTTACAATGGGGGAAACTACGTCTACAAATGGCCCACCGTCAGAGCACGTGATGTAATCTTGCCATCATTGGTAGAAGCAGTCAGGACTGTTGTTGAAGTTGATTTCCTCGTTCTCTTTGGTTCTTTCGCTAAAGTCACAGAGGTCTAAGGGGCCGTCCATAAATGACGTCACGCGATTTTGGACGATTTTTGACCCCCCCCCCCCCTCGTCACACGGCGTCACAAAAAGTCAGACCCCCCCTCAAATATGACGTCACAAACCATATTTACATTTCAAATCGCTTTAAACTGTTGTCATTGTAGTGCGTATTTAATGTGGCGCTGCACTCTGAAGTTGTAGGAGAAAACATTTATTGAAAAGTCTATTTAATTAAGTAGAACGTGTTGTCTACATTTATTTAAAGTTGCGCATTTTGATGTGACGTCACATTTCTCACCCCCCCCCCCTCGTCACACATCGTCACAAATGTCTGCCCCCCCCCCCCTAAGTGCGTGACGTCATTTATGGACGGCCCCTAATGAGCGTTGATCAGCAGTGCGAATCGCTTCACAAGCCCCGGACCAGTGGTGGAAATTCCACGTTTTCTATGGCGGGGTGTTGAGTCTCATCCGTGAGACATCTCCAACACCGGCTTCCACATTGGGCGACTCATCAGCAGCCTCGGGCTTTGCTTGAACCATTGAACACAAACAAAACTCCGAACCGGTTTCCACATTTAGTGCTCATCAACAGGCTCGGGCTTTGCGTGAACCATTGAACACAAACAAAACTCCGAACCGGTTTCCACATTGGGCGACTCATCAACAGGCTCGGGCTTTGCTTGAACCATTGAACACAAACAAAACTCCGAACCGGTTTCCACATTTAGTGCTCATCAACAGGCTCGGGCTTTGCGTGAACCATTGAACACAAACAAAACTCCGAACCGGTTTCCACATTTAGTGCTCATCAACAGGCTCGGGCTTTGCGTGAACCATTGAACACAAACAAAACTCCGAACCGGTTTCCACATTGGGCGACTCATCAACAGGCTCGGGCTTTGCTTGAACCATTGAACACAAACAAAACTCCGAACCGGTTTCCACATTTAGTGCTCATCAGCAGGCTCGGGCTTTGCTTGAACCATTGAACACAAACAAAACTCCGAACCGGTTTCCACATTTAGTGCTCATCAACAGGCTCGGGCTTTGCGTGAACCATTGAACACAAACAAAACTCCGAACCGGTTTCCACATTGGGCGACTCATCAACAGGCTCGGGCTTTGCTTGAACCATTGAACACAAACAAAACTCCGAACCGGTTTCCACATTTAGTGCTCATCAGCAGGCTCGGGCTTTGCTTGAACCATTGAACACAAACAAAACTCCGAACCGGTTTCCACATTTAGTGCTCATCAACAGGCTCGGGCTTTGCGTGAACCATTGAACACAAACAAAACTCCGAACCGGTTTCCACACGCAGTGACTCATCAGCAGCCTCGGGCTTTGCTTGAACCATTGAACACAAACAAAACTCCGAACCGGCTTCCACATTGGGCGACTCATCAGCAAGCTCGGGCTTTGCTTGAACCATTGAACACAAACAAAACTCCGAACCGGTTTCCACACTCAGTGACTCATCAGCATGGTGGGGCTTTGCTTGAACCATTGAACACAAACAAAACTCCGAACCGGTTTCCACACACATCGACTCATCAGCATGGTGGAGCTTTGCTTGAACCATTGAACACAAACAAAACTCCGAACCGGTTTCCACACTCAGTGACTCATCAGCATGGTGGGGCTTTGCTTGAACCATTGAACACAAACAAAACTCCGAACCGGTTTCCACATTTAGTGCTCATCAGCAGGCTCGGGCTTTGCTTGAACCATTGAACACAAACAAAACTCCGAACCGGTTTCCACACACATCGACTCATCAGCATGGTGGGGCTTTGCTTGAACCATTGAACACAAACAAAACTCCGAACCGGTTTCCACAAGCAGTGACTCATCAGCAAGCTCGGGCTTTGCTTGAACCATTGAACACAAACAAAACTCCGAACCGGTTTCCACACGCAACGACTCATCAGCAGGCTCGGGCTTTGCTTGAACATTGAACACAAACAAAACTCCGAACCGGTTTCCACACACATCGACTCATCAGCATGGTGGGGCTTTGCTTGAACCATTGAACACAAACACAACTCCGAACCGGTTTCCACACGCAGTGACTCATCAGCAAGCTCGGGCTTTGCGTGAAGCATTGAACACAAACAAAACTCCGAACCGGTTTCCACACGCAGTGACTCATCAGCAAGCTCGGTCTTTGCGTGAACCATTGAACACAAACAAAACTCCGAACCGGTTTCCACATTTAGTGCTCATCAGTAGGCTCGGGCTTTGCGTGAACCATTGAACACAAACAAAACTCCGAACCGGTTTCCACACGCAACGACTCATCAGCAAGCTCGGGCTTTGCTTGAACCATTGAACACAAACAAAACTCCGAACCGGTTTCCACATTTAGTGCTCATCAGCAGGCTCGGGCTTTGCTTGAACCATTGAACACAAACAAAACTCCGAACCGGTTTCCACACATATCGACTCCTCAGCAAGCTCGGACTTTGCTTGAACCATTGAACACAAACAAAACTCCGAACCGGTTTCCACACATATCGACTCCTCAGCAAGCTCGGACTTTGCTTGAACCATTGAACACAAACAAAACTCCGAACCGGTTTCCACACGCAGCCACTCATCAGCAGCCTCGTGCGTCACTCGGAGCGAGCCAATCAGGGCGCTGTGTGGCGGTCGCTAGGCAACGCTTCCGGCACAACAAACCCCGCCTACTGCCTTGGCGACCGCGTGCGCAGCAGAGAATTTACAACCGCGGGCACATCGCAAACAACAACAACAACAAAGACGACGATCACAACAACAACAACTGGTTAGCATCGTGGCTGGTGGTGGCTGCTGCTGCTGTTGTTGTTGCGGTTGTTGTTGTTGTAATGGAGGCAGCGAAGGACGCTCCGCGGACACAGACGACCACCCAGGGCAACGTGGCCACGCACACTGAAGACCCGGGCAACAGCAGCAGCAGCAGCTACTTCAACACCACCAAGGAGGTGAGCTGCTCGGTCCCGGCACGGGAACGTGGAAAGTCCCCACCCACGATGATGGTGGAGTTGGTGGGTGTTTCTGTTGCGTGTAGTCACTTGAAGATGTTTCTTGTTCATGGTTTTGTTCGTTGCGGTTATTAGGTTATACCTCCGAATACATGGAATGAAACTGACACTTCATGATTGATGGCGCGGGGAAGTTTTGCTGTGACGTTGAGTCAGGGATTTCATCTCGGCAGGGAGTTTGTCCGGGGTTGGTGATGGGGTAGGTGGTGGTGGTGGTGGGGAGGTTACCGGGGAAATATTTGCTGAGAAATTAAAGCCTCTGACTTTGTATTCTTTGGGTCTTTTGGTAAAGTCCCGTCGATAGGTTCAAAGAAAATAACAAAAATAGCAAAAAAACGACGTTTCGATCACAACATAGCTTGTGTTGTGATCGATAGATAGGTTAAAAGGAAATAACGCCGTTTCGATCACAACAAGCCATCGCTTGTGTTGTGATCGAAACGTCGTCGTTGTTATTTCCTTTGAACCTATCTAAAACCAAAGAATATGAATTAATGCAGTCACGAAAGCTTTAAGTCAATATTTAGTTTTCTCTGACTTTGGTTAATTAGCAGCAATATTCGGGGTCTGGAGCGGTGGCGCAGTGATTGAGCGGCTCAGGGGTGACATTAATGTATTTTTACTCCAATAACCGAGAATAAAATAGAGTTACTGTCATCATCACAAAATTGTGAAATTGTCACCGCTGCCATGGTGTGGTGAGCGCCCTGACCGTGGCTGTTGGTTAGGGGCCTCCATAAATGACGTCACACATCGAGGGGGGGAGGGGGTCAGACATATGTTACGAGGGGGGGAGGGGGGTTGAAAAATGTGACGTCACACAAAAATGCGCAACTTTAAATAAATATTAAATAAATAGAACTATTATAACACAAATTTTGATTAATTTTCATTAACTATTTGATTCTTTAAATTTACTAAGGTCACCTTTTATTTATTGCATGCTTCTCCATGGGAGAATGGAGAAGCATACATTTTGTAATTTTTTTTAATGATTGCTATTAAACATTTTGATTCCAATGATTCTACCAGGGCTTTTCATTCTGTGGAATGAATGTGTGATTGTTATAATTGGACTCTCCATTTTGCTTCGTTCTACTACAAAGTTTCAAGTATTTTTCATAGTTATAATTACTTTTAATATTTTATAATTATAAGAGAATTTCAATATAATATTCTGAACATCTGCAGTTTTAGTTAGACGTTGAATATTTTCAAGTGAATTTTATGCTACATTTCAGCTTTCCAACGCCTCCTTTTTAATAAATGTTTTCTCCTACAACATCAGAGTGCATCGCCACATTAAATACGCACTACAATGACAATAGTTTAAAGTGATTTGAAGCATGTTTTATGTTCAAAATGGAAATGTGTTTTTTTTTTTGGGGGGGGGGGCAGAGCTTTGTGGCGTCATATTTTAGGTGGGTCTGACTTTTTGTGACCCCGTGTGACGAGGGGGGGTAAAAAAATCGGCCAAAATCGCGTGACGTCATTTATGGACGGCCCCTTAACTCTCATTGTGTTGTCTCCCACGATGTCACTCTGCGCTATGGAGGTACCTTGAGCGGTGACACGGCCCAGCTGTGTGTATGTTTGTGTGTTGAACTTCATTCGCACCGTACGTCGCCCACTGTGCTAATCGGAGGTGCGGGAGGGGAGACAACGAACACTTAAACACTCACAAAAGCGGTTCTCAAGAAATGAGTTTTCAATCCAGATGATGTTTCTGTTGCTCCAGTGGCTTCCTAATATCGGAAGGAGGAGCGTTTCCAGACCGATGGTGAGCCAAAAGCCGCCACTGCTGAGAGGATGAGCGGAGTTCGCGTGATGGTTTATGCTCCCTGACGAGATGCGCGAGGCATTGCGGTTCATTTGTGGCGAGCGCTTTGTGTGTGATGTGTGCGACCAGCTGTAGCGCCTACGCCGCTTGTTGCAGAGAGGTTCACGGTTGGAATCTAACGGCCGTCCTGGTGAATACTACTGCGGTGTGTATCGACCATGATGATAACCCCGCGTAGCCATTTGCTTTACAGTGGACGTTAAAGGTCCCCTGACGTCATCCTCAAGTGTAGTGCCATCGCGGGCCGACGTCAGGGTACGAATTTTGCCGAATTCGAATTTTACCAAATTAGATTTTTTTTTACTTTACCATTTTCGAATTTCGCCAAATTTTGCCAAATTCGAAAATCACAGAGCAAATTACTAAAGAGCAAATCATCGGCTCCCGACTGCCGGACTAATACCCAAAGTTTCCCAGGTCTGTGCCACATCTTCGCGCACAGCTCACTCTCGCAACCGAGACTCATCCTGGCCTCTCGATTTCGCACCTCGCTACACAAAGCCAACTCGACATGAAACGATCGCGTGACTTATGAACTTAACTGTGGCGTGACTGCTATGACGGACGTGCCTTTCTTGCAAGGACATGCCGAGGACGTGACTAAACCAAAACTACAACTTTTATTTTACCAGGGACGGCCCACTGAGCTATTTGGCTCTTTTTCAGAAGTGGCCTGGCCACAAATTATAGATCGACGAAGTGGCTTTTCACGTGGAAATTTATAGCAGCCAAATACTCTAAATGCGTAGAGGTAAAAAGCGGAGGACTCGGAGAAAAATCCACGCGGCCACTGGAAGAGGGACACGCAAACTCCAAATATACAGGCGTCAGTGTCGGGATGGGACCAAAGACACCCTGTATACCAGGCGAGGTCGTTAACATCTCTCCACCGTGGTGTGACCGTCTGCTGTGGTGTGACTGCTCCGCGTGGCTCCTGGTTGTCCGCAGAGGCCGGCCGTGTGCATGTACGACGTGCTGTTCCACCAGCCGAGCGGCTACGACGCACACCTCCACCGGGATGACCGCCAGCATTCCAAGTCGCGGGGCCTCAACGTGCACGCCGAGGTGGGGCCTCCGCCACCTCCTCCTTCACCACCTCATCACTACATTCTCCATCACCACCACTACTGCCACTACCACAGCCAACATCATCACCATCACCACCACGACCACAACCATCAGCTCTATCAACACCTCCACCAGCACCGCCGCCACCAACATCAGCACCGCCATCGCCGCCACTACTGCCACCATTGGCACTACCACCTCCGCCGACACTGGGCCTCCCCTAGGTTGACTCAGCCTTAAGCGAGTACCTGGTGCAGCGTGTAAAGATCCGACGCGTTGGGAAACAAGGGCGGCCGGGCGCGGTTGCTGGCCACGTCGCCCCCTGGTGCTCTGCGCCGGCCTTTGTCGGTGCTCGCGAAGAGACACTTTTTATGGGCCACGACGGTGGGGCACCTTTGTCTTTGTCGCGCAGGAGATGGCGCGAGACGTGCCCGTGCTGTCGTCGTCCGAGTACGGGCGGCAGCCGAGGGTGTTCGTGGACCCCAGCGACCGGCAGTTTGCCCGCGTTGGCATCGTGCGGGCCGAGTTCTACCGGCTCAACGGCTCGTCGCTCCAGCACACGGGCTCCTGCCAAAACTGAACCTCACCCCCTCCCACCGCCTTCCCATCACCTTCCCACCGCTGCTGTCACTTCATTCATAAAGGCCCAGGGCTGTGATAGTTTTGGGAGGGGGGGGGGGCAGCCCCCCACCTGCCCCCTTCTTTGTTTATTCGATTCCTTCCAATGACCTTCGTACCTGATGATGCACAACGCTTGATTGCGACACACCTCGGGTGACTTCAATTCCGTTCACGCAAAGAAGAAGGGTGCATGTGCGTTCGTCCTGTGCACGTGCAGGAGTTTTAACGTTACAAAGTACACACGGGTGCCGCGGTGGCTAGGAGATGTTAACTACCTTGCCTGCACATCTGTGGAAAAGAGCTTCAGAGCTCATCAGATTTGTCCGGGATAAACAAAGATTTAGATTTGGATTACTCCCCCACACCACCCCACCCCCCTCGTATGCAATGTGTGATGCAATAAAACGTCTTAACCTTGCGATTGTCTCTCATTTACAGGATATCTCTTAAGTCTTGCCTCTCCTCTCAGCCTCCAACGAGGCCACCGATTCCCAAGGGCCATAACCAGTGAAGTGCCCCATCTAGTTGTTTTAACACGTAGTAGTAGTCGTAGTAGGCTTTCGCAACCAACATTATCCATACCAAAGATTTTTGTTGGGTTAGATCGCGTAGATATGTCGTTAAACCCGCCACCACCCGACACAGCCAATTAGTAAGGTTTGTCGCGTAAGCAAAACGTGCCAATTCGTTAACCCTTTCAACACACCGGTTGTGAGTTGGAGAGTAAACCCACACCATTTACAATGAGTTAACGACTCTGGTGATTACAACCAGCATCAATATTGAAATGTGGGTTTAGACCGGTGTGCTGAAGTTGTAACTAATTGGCACGTTTTGTCTACGTGACAAACCTTACTAAATCGGCCGTGTCGGGTGGTGGTGGTGGTTGGTTTAACGACACATTTATATTCACGTGATGTAACCCAAAAAAAAACTTTTAGTATGGCCCATCTAGTTCCGTCGTAGACAAGGTGTTAGTACTGCCTCCATCACGGTATTCGCTAATATTGCACTTTAAACGACCGCTGTGATGTATGTGTAGTGGGTTCTCAGCGAGACAGACGCCGTAGTTGAGGCACACTCGTTTATTTAACCAAAAGGCGGTAACAACACTTGAAGGGGTAACGGCCCCTTCACCCATACTAAACGGGAAACACCCCTAGCACTATTCCCTGACTGTCCTATTCCCAGTCCTCCACTACGAGTGCTATGGGAGGCTATCTGATCCGCCCCTGGTCAAGCACGGATCCCAGCACCCAGCTAACCAGGCCGTGCTCTTACAAGAGCAGCGGTCCTGGAGCTCTTGGGGCCGCGCCACTGGCTTGCCCTGCTCGGCCCTGACAAGGACAGCGAGCCAGGGGAGTCCCAGGGCCTATCCTGCCGGTCTTCCATCTTCACTGGTAAAGCTTCAAGCACTGGCCTCGAGCCCTCTGGCTCCCCGCCTTTTATAGGAATCCTCTCCGAGGGGTGGGGCTGTGGGGGATCACAGCACCACCCATGGCCCCCCAGGGTTAACCGATGCGGACGTGGATGTAGACACCCGTGTGTGGGTGCAGACACCCTTGTGTTTCTGTCCGCCTTTCTCCCCGTAACAACCCCTACATCTGTACGCAAGTCGGTTGAACGTCTTTCCCACCGTACGTAGCCAACCGTGATAATCGGAGATCACGAGGATCCGTAATTAAAATGAAAAACCAAATCGATAGGAATATTTGTCCAGGTGACAACTTGATTTGATTGGGTTTGGGTTGTGGAGGGTATATAGTAGCGTCGTTGAAAATTGGTATTGTACCTACACGGTCTAACCCAAAAGTAAATTACGAATACTAAATTAAGTTTGCAGTCGACCCACCGAGAAATTAAAACGAATAATTCTTAAATCCGTGTAGAATGCACGGTGTGGTCTCGCTAAAAATGTTTTCAAAACACACCGAGAGATTTTTTATCGTTCCGACAGCCGTACGGCGGCTCCCTCAAAAGTCATCGATGAAACGACACAAGACGTTTGTCGTAAATCTGTTTATTAATGCCAAGCAGTGTGCAAATTATGCATTTCAAAATATACTCTTAAACAATTTGGCATTGCACTACCGTAATAATCACGTTTTGTTTCTTGAATAACAGCAACCAGCTGGAAACGTTTGTTCTAAACCACAAGTGTTTTCACCCCTTTTTTAAATCTTAACACGCGTTTTTTTTCTATGCGTGGCTACAGGGTTTGTGGCGCTGGTGGGTCCTGGTGCGAGGCAATGCATCATTTATGACTCCCCTCATCATAACCCAGTGCCCCCCCCCCCCACCTGCCACCCCCTCTGGCCTGTGTGCCCCAGTGCAGTTGAACTGCCTGTAATATTTAAACTATATAACAAAAATTTACCAGGTAAGGCTCACCGAGCTGCTATACAGCTTTTTTTCAGAAGCGACCTGGCTATCACAAATGCTAGACCACCGAAGCGACGTATCGTCATCATCATCATCACGTGGAGATGTTATAGCAGTAGCCAAATGATGTTGATTCTACGTGGAGCGGAAAAAAAACCGGAAGCCCCCCGACAAAAATCCACATCAGGGTCAGGATAGAAACCCGACCTCCTGTGTACCAGGCGAGGTAGTTGACATCTCGCCACTGCAGCGAGTTACTCGATTACCCGTCTGATATCAAATGGGTATCACACAATTCAATGTTATTGGCCACGTGAAGCAAATTGAAACCGCTAAAGTGGCGTCACCTCAGGCAGTTCCGACAGGTGAATATCTCTGGTCTGGGCTCATGAACTATATCCAGGGTCAAAACCTGCTGAGCTTCTGAGCTCTAACAAGAAAGGGTGCTGCACTCTCTGGGTGATCTGCTCATTGGGCAGCAAGGTTAATAGATTAATGGAATATTAGAATCCACTGAAATGTTCACTTTATAACTGTAGCCCAGTGGTCGTTGTGTTCTCCGCAGGAGGGTGACCAACTATGGCTTTGGCCGTGTAAATTCCACTTCTTAATTATTTCCTGCTCAAAATGAGCATTGGGAGGTGGTGCTCATCTCTTGTTTACAACCCAGAGATCGTGGGTTCGATTCCGACCCCGACGCCTGCTGTATATTTGAAGTGTGCGTGTCTCTCTCTCTCCACATTTTAGAAACCTGCGTTTAGAGTCTTTGGCTGCTGTAAATTTCCACGCGGTAAGCCACTTATTTGAGCTATCAATTGTGACCAGGTCGCTTCTGAAAAACCCCAAAAAACCTGTTTATCATAGTATGGTATTATTATTTTAGGAATTTGACGCGTGGCTGTCCGCAGTTGCGCGGAGCTTGCGAGGTGAGACCCGCGCCGTCTTGACACGCGCGGACATCGAAAACCGAGCGGCGATACTTTATTTTGTATTTTCACCTCAGTTTCCCCCCCCTCCGCCCGTTCCCAAATACAATATCCGAGTTGGCGAGGCTTGCACTGTGGCTATATTCTCACTAGAAGATAACATTCCCTTCACAACTGTCGTTTAGCCAATTTGTTTTTGAGGCTTTTTCACGGGGCGTGAGTTTTATTATGATTATTGTACACATCAGCTGTACGCAGCTCAACATTATCCTCATTTGTTTCCCACAATTGTATTTCTTTACTATAATTGTTTATATATTTTGTAGTATCTTGTTTGCCTTGGTTGATCCCTGTTGTGCGTGTGTTCATATTTTCACACGCATCGCACGGCGCTTCCCTGACCTTTCCGCGCGAGCCGCCGCATGACATAAATGAGCATCGTTGCCATTTTCGTACTTAAATTGAAACATTTAAATCGTGCCAAAAAAAATGGGGCAAAACGCATTCTGGGAGCCTCCCCCGTTGCCCCTTCAACCCAACCGAGACCAGAAACTCTACTTGCTCATCAGAAGGAGAAAGTCAAAGCAAAAGTGCAACAACAACAATAATCAACGACAACAAATAAAACCACAAAAAAATCCCCCCCCCCCCCCCGAAAAAATATTGTTGTTGCTTCAACTTCTCAAGAAGAAATGAAAACAATAACTGGAATCACAGTCGGTCGGTCGATCGGCAGGCCGGTCACGTGCAGTGGGGTTAAGTATGACGATGACCGGCCAGTGTTGGAGAGTAGGCCAAATAAACTATTAACACTAAACTTTTTTATTTTATTTGACCAGGTAAAGCCCACCGAGCTGTATAGCTCTTTTTCAGACGCGATCGCAAATGATATCTCAACGAAGTGGCTTATCACGTGGAAATTTATAGCAGCCGCAACTGCAGGGAGAGACACACACGCAAACTCCAATTATACAACATACGTCAGGGTCGGGATCGAACCCACGACCTCCTGCATACCAGGCGAGGGAGTCATCATCTCCTAGCCACCGTGGCGCCACAAATACCTTAAAGTCGAGGCCCTTTGGCCAGGAGTGGCTTGAGCAAGCAATTTCAAGGCTGCACCTTCACCCTCCATCGGTCTAAAACAACGTCTGATAAGCATCGTGGTGGTGCAGGTCCAGGCTGCTGCTCTCTGCAGTAAATCGTATTCACAGAAAACGACAAATATCCCCACGGTAGACACCAGGCATAGTCAGAGGGATAACACCGTCAAGAGACACAGAGCTGCCGAGATCCTGGATTCGAATCGAAACTGCTCATTCTGTATAAGTTGCATTTAGAATCGTCCATCCTTGACGGTTTACACATTAGTACAAAAGCCACCCTATATCTGTTATAACGTCTCCGGAGCCGATTTAACTTTGCGTGCTAATTTTAGATTCCTCATGGAGACGCAGGTAAGTTTTTTTCCCCTTCGTTTTCATTGCCACAGTTCGTTTAATTTGTTTTTGCCATTTTTGGTGGCCCAGGTCAAAATGTTGTAGATGAGACTATCCTGGTCTACCGAGCGCTCTCACCCAGTTCAACAAAATCAACATGAAACTTAGCCGCCCGTGATCATACCGGGTTTCTCAAGCGCAATGAGTGAATTGTTCTCAGCCAAATCAATGACCGCACACAAACAAAGACCAAGTGTAAGAGCATTTTCAGCCGCCTCCTTTCAAAAATACGCCATCTCCTATCCCCCCCCCCCCCCACAATGTGTTCCTCCTCCACATCATGCAATGTCTGTACACAACCCATTGGAGCCGGTCACAGATCCTTCTGGGAGAAAGACAGAGATTCCCCCGTGTATCCTGTGACAGACTGTAGGGGCAAGTGCTGTTCGCGAGCACCTATGAAGGCCGGCACGGCGCACGAGGGGGTGGGTGGCCAGCACCACGCCCGGCCTTTGTCTCCACAATGGCGATGTTTACACACCACACCAGGTACTCATTTAAGGCTGAGTCGACCTAGGGGAGGCCCAGGATCGGTTCAGACACCCGTCACTGGTGGTGGCCGTGAGCGGGAATAGAACTTGGGTCGTTAGATTCGTAGCGCAGCGCGCTTACCGCTACACTACCGCTCCCCCCCCCCACACACACACACGAAAAAACTATAATTAAGCTTTGGCTGAATTTAAAAATATATACTGTACATTTGATTGGCATGTATCAAACACTATTTTCGAGAGGAACGTAAGGACAAGAGGCATGGTGCAGGGCCTTGGAAGTAGTTCTGGTACATCAACTTCCTTTGACGCAAGGGTGACGATGCCCTGCCGCCATGCTTAGAACTCCAAATAACAAAACTAAAAAGTCTCAATCTGAAAACGATGCCAATAGCAGCAGGATTTGAACTTAAATCAGAACATTAAAAGGAAATATAATGGTTACAAAAATTACAAAGTATACTGTAAGTAGGAGCTTAAAGCCAGATTTTAACAAATTATAATTGCTACGGGAGTGCTGTAACATAACACGTTGATATTTTTACAGGGATGAGGGCGTGTATATATACTGTTTATGTAGAGAACACAACGTTAAGGGCAAGTGCCTGTAAACTTAGTAAACCGTCCGTACCTCACCTCACCTCCCGACCCGAGACATCAATTCGCTCGAGTTATGTATGCATTCCACACACCTATGGCAAGGCCCAGTATGATTACTCGAACACAAAACACCACCGCGGACTTCACGCAGAGCTATCCACGAGGTTTTGCATTTGAGCAGACCCCGTCGCTCTGTGGCAAGTCAACGGGAGGCATGCTGTGGATGGACTGGCAGCTGCCAGAGCAATGTGGAATGTCCGTCAGTGGCTTAGTTCTGCCAGAAAGGACGAGTGCGTCCACCCTCCCGACCTCCCATCTCAGCTCATCGGAGCAGCTAGAAATTGTAATTTATGTATATATTTTTCCATTTATATATTTTTTCCATTTATATTTAAAACGAGGCACGGCCACCCAGAGGCTCCTGGAGGTCTATTGTGTGGCCGTCTTTTGTGCGAAGGCCATTTACCCCCCCACACCCTCAGGGTGGCCCTGAGGTTCGGATCTGAGGGATCTAGGCCATGATAAATTCCAAGGAGGAGAAATTATTCTTCGGAAAACAAAGTTAAACTAAATTAAAAGAAATTATTCAACTATATATATATCTCTCTTTTTAACCAGGTAAAGCCCACCTAGCTATGTAGCTATTTTTTCAGAGGCGACCTGGCAATCACAAATGATATAGCTCAACGGAGTGGCCCTATCATGTGGACTTTTTTCGCAGCCAAATACTCTCTGTAAACGCACGTCGACTCCAAATATGGAGGGAAAACCCAGAGGGCCCGGAGAAAAATCCACAGGGGGAATACGGAAACTCCAAATATACAGCAGCAGCGGGCGTCAGGGTCGGGATTGAACCCACGACCTCCTGTATACCAGGCGAAGTAGTTAACATCTGCTAGCCACAGTGATGATGATGAGAGAGACACGTAAACTCCAAATATACAGCAGCAGGCGTCAGGGTCGGGATTGAACCCACGACGACCTCCTGTATACCAGGCGAAGTAGTTAACAACTCCTAGCCACAGTGATGATGATGATGAGACACGCAAACTCCAAATATACAGCAGCAGGCGTCAGGGTCGGGATTGAACCCACGACGACCTCCTGTATACCAGGCGAAATAGTTAACATCTCCTAGCCACCGTGGCACCCATATCCCAATCATTCCCTGCATTGTAAGTTTATACAATTTGCCGAAAACAAATCACGTGCACGCAGAGATGTGTATATAATACATATATATATCCTGGTCATTTTGAAAAAGTGGTCTATTTTATCTCGTGAACAAAGGCGCCCTGAGACATTAGTGGAAGGCGCCTTACAAATACATGTCAATTATTATTATTAAGTGGTTAGCTGAAAATAACACCCGTTTTTTGTGTTTTTAAAATCAGGGATTAATTTCAATCTGACTTTTTCGTGGCCGAATTTCTGCAGATATTTACCTTGGGGCGGGGCTTTGGATATTGGAGAGCCTCAAAAAAACCATGACATTTCTCGGGGTACCTCGTTTTCATCCCGTCAATTTTCGGAAATAAATATCCCCTTGTGTCAGCCAATCGACTTTCTTCAGGAAATATCGAAGGCCAGTGGAACAACAACATCGTCATCATCGTCATCACTCCAAACGTCGGGAAAACACTTTCTTTACAACCGTTCAAATATTTCCAAGAACGTGTTATTTTTTTTAATTCGCCTGCGCCTGGTGACAATAATATAATTTGTAATGCGCTCAGTCGTAGTTCGCTCTCAGAAAGACGACAGGAATGGTCAAGAATGATCCAGAAGGCAGCCAAAACGGGCGTCCACAATTTCCCCAAGCTCTGGGGTCTCATAAAATCGGGATGTTTTGGCCAACTGCATCAACGAGAGTTCATACACGTGGGAGGAAACCGGAACACGCGGCGAAAAAGCCGCGCGTGTGAGGGTGGTGACACTCAATCCACGTATAGATGGAAATCAACCCACTTGCTGTAGTGCTACAAAAGCCAGGGTATGATGGCAGTACAGCAAGATTGAAAACTAATTTTTTTAGAACCGCTTCATTTTGCATTTAGTTTGTTGTTCTTCCCCCCGCACCTCCGATTAGCGCAGTTGGCTACGTACTGTGCGAAAGAAGTTCAACATACGTACATACAAGCCGGAAGGTGGCGACCTCAATGCCCACGGTTAGGGAGTTTCACGACTGTGTGCGAGTGTGTCTGTGTGCAAGCCACCAACCCTCGCTTACAAAGTGCCGGGTTAAAGGAGCGCAGCGTAAGCCAACTCGCGCGCCCAAAGCTCCGGTCGCAGAAGGAGCAACCTAAACCGTTATTTTATCATCGATCTCATCGATTCTACGAATCTTTTTCTCCTCTTCGTATCAATGGCGGCAGTTATTCGCGCGACCGAGCGAATGGGGAAACCCCGGCGCGTCGCGAGGGCCACGTTGGCGAGCGCGGAAACCGGCGCTCGCAGCGCAGTGCAGCGGCGGCCCACAGCGACTCGCGTTCGCGAGCCTGGCAATCCTGGGGTACGCAACACGGAAGACGCACAAAAGCAAGTTTCGTACGACGCGCGCCGACCGAGCCGAAGCCCCGTAGCTGCGTCTTGTTGTGCGTCATCGGCTCGCGAGTGAAAGGGCACGGCCGACGACGATAATTCCGACATCGCGAAGGAAGATATGTCATCTCTGGATTTCCATCAGCCGCGTTTCTACGTCCGCACAGCCTCGGCACGGGGGCCCGTTCGGTGCATTTCGCTCTCGCCGTCCCGCACCCACCTTTGGCGGCGCACAACCTGGGGCCTGTAATTATGGCCGGAGCCGACCCGGGACCGAGTTCTTGAAAATATATCAACTTTGAGCACACCATGTCCAGGATGCCTCCTCGCTACTATGGATGTGGCTTCCCAGACGCGTGTCAGCGACCAGCAATCTACGACCGGCGGCCAAAAAAAGATGCAGAGCGCGGAATTGAGCCGCGGCAAAATATCGTGACTTGACGCACTCCGTGGTTGTGTGGCTCCAACAGGGTGGGCGCTGCTGGAAAACATCTCTCTGTCTCGCGATTGGATGAAAGCCATGGTTCTAGCTTGGGCGACAATATAAAGGAAGACGTAACGGCAAATTCTTCGCCGTTTTTCTTTTTACAGCAATGCACGTCGTAGGCCATTTGTAGCAGACCGGCCATCACGGGTCGAATGATGTACGTATGTTGAACTTCTTTCGCACCGTACGTGGCCAACCGTGTTAATCGAAGGTGACGAAATAACAAAAAAAATGGATCGCGTTAACGACGACCAACCGTCAGCTCCAGAATGGCAACGCGTATTTCTGAAGCTGGGGGGCGCTGGAAGTATGGGTGTTACAAATTTGTTCTATTTTTACAACAACAAAAAAACCACATGCTCGGTCAAACTTCACTGGATCAATATCGCTTCGATAATGACCATTAGTAGCTTCCCAGTTCATTGCTGGGTTGCGTCTTCCTTTAAATATAACCCCCGGTGATATTACATTTGCATGGGCGTTCGCCGAAAATAAATAACAAAAACAACTTTTGCCAACAAAAACGTCCTCGTCTATTATTGCATCGTTAAGTCACTTGCGTATTTTCGCAAAACGTGTCGCATTTTGTGCGATCTTAACTGTTACCTGGACGCGTGACACACTGGGCCATCCTGCGATCATCTTACCCCCGCGCAGGCCTTTCGGTATTTTCCGTCCGATTTTGAGATAACCACGAAAACAAGCCGACGTTCGACAAAGAAATCGGGGGCGGAAAAATGATTTTAAGTTATTGCGCGGCCGCTCTTCTCTTCAAAAGTGAGCGCGCAAAAACACAGCAACAACCCCCCCCAACTTGCTACTGCAGCAGCAACAAGAGGAGCTGGAGGAGGGCGTGGAGGAGGTGGTGGTGTTCAGTTCCGACCATCCTGCTGTGGGCCCTCGGGCAGCAGCGACGCGAAAAACGAGAAGAAGAAGGAGCAAACAGAGACGGAGATGGCGCGGGTCCAGCCGTGTGCGCCCGCCGGTGGCGGCGGTGGCGGCGGTGGCGGCAGCGCTGCGTCCCCGCCGCCGTCGACAGCCGCGGGGGTCTCTCTGGCTCTGTCCGCAGGGCCGCCGGCGGCGTCGTCAGCGGCGGCGCCGGCGGGAGCCGGCCGAGCGACGACGTCGTTCCGATTGTCAGCGGCGCCGGCGGCGATTTGGTGTCTTGGGTTTGCGGGGACGTTGGCCGGGGCGGCGCGGCGGAAGGGGAAGATGGCAGCATGGTGCCTGCAAATCGTGAAAAACGGGACATTTTAAAAATTGCGATACATTTAGCAATATATATTTACTGTATGTTGAACTTCTTTAGCACCATACGTAGCCAACTGTGCTAAATCGGAGGTAAGGACAACCAAGGGAAATGTTTTATCCCGATATATTTTCACTTTTTTGCTTATTTAACTGTATGTGCCTGCGGACAGCACGAACGAGATGGCGTGGTACGAACAGACAGGATGTATGCAGTGTAAACGAGTTGCAAAGCAACACGCAAACGTGGGTGAAAAGCACTCGGCCTTGGTGCGTTTTGCAGAAATCCATCGGCATTTCCAGAAGAATTGCACCATCTTCCGCCCTACACTATTTTTTTCATGTTATTGTGGGTGTTTTTCTCGTTACGGATTTAAGTAGAAATGAGATGGTACAATGGGGACAAAAATAATTACGTACAATCTGAATCGTTCACTCAAATTTCCACCGACGAATCAGAATGGAGATGCCGAATAGCGGCATTTCATAGAATCGCAAACACCTGCAGAACCGTGAAAGTTCAAAGGACCTCACAAAAATCCGCCGAGGAGGGCAGACCACGCGAGCAGGTCACGTGACCACTCACAGGTAGAGCAGCAGCACGGTGACCATGACGACGAGCATGCGGCCCAGCGACGAGTACTGGTAGAGGATCGCGAAGAGCGCCGCTCCGCACGCCAGCGAGTGCAGCCAGTCCAGCCAATCGGCACGGCCCATTCCATCGTCTTCGCCCATGGCTCCTCCCACCAGAGCTCCCCCGAGCACCGCCCCTCCTCCCCCTCCTCCTCCACCCCCCATGGCCCCGCCCCCCATGGCCCCTCCAATAATGCCCCCCCCCACCACGTTGGCCCCCCCCACCACGTTGGCGCCCGCGACCAATGCCCCGCGCGCGTTGGCACCGCCGACCGGCGCCCCCTCCGCAGCGGCGATCCGATTGGCTCCTCCCACGTCGGCCCCGCCCACTTCGGCCGGTCGCCCCGCCGCGTCGTTCTCATTGGCCGCCGCCTGGGCGCCCTCTCGAGCCGCCACGTTGCCATTGGCCGGCCGGCCGACGTCGACTCCGCCCACCTGGACGATGCCTCCCAGCATGGCTCCGCCCACCGCATTTCGATTGGCCGCCCTGTCGGGGGCGGCAACGTCTCCCGCGTCCCCATTGGCCGAGGGGTCGTGGCTGACGGCCGGTGAACCCTGGACCATGCCACTGGACAACATCTCACACGTTAGTGACACTCCAACGCACACGAACTCATCGGTGGTGCGGTAATAAGAACAATGCGAACTTCAACTTGTAAGGTGCACAGTATTCGCTCGCTCTCGAAGGAAGAGATGGACGACTCGGGGGGCGAGAGCAGGAACCACGGACGAGCGGGAAGGCAGCAGTGACGCGGTAAGCCCTTGCGACCAACAATTGCCCTGGCTCTGCAGTTCTCTATATATATCAAGATATTCTCAGCCAATTAATTCATTCTCTTTGGTTTTATGGTAAAGTCACGTAGGTAAAAAATTTAATTAAATAAATGAAAACAACTAAATTAAATCACGACGTTTCGATTGCTGATGATGATTGCTTGTGTTGCAATCGAAACGTCGTGATTTAATTTAGTTGTTTTCATTTATTTTGTTTTATTTTTCACCTATGTGACTTTACCGAAAAAACCAAAGAGTATGAATCCTTGCAGTCACGAAAGCTTCAAATGTAGAATTAATTCATTCATTTTTAAACCGTATGTACGATTGTACGTTGAGCTTCTTTCGCACCGGACGTAGCTAACGGCGCTAATCGGAAGTGCGGGGAGGGGGGAAAAACAACCAACTAACCACAAAAAGCAGTTCTAAAGAAATAATTTTAAATGTAGAAAATTCTTTTAAATAGAGTAGGGGAATGGCGGTCAGGAATTGACATCAATTCCAGATTTTCCTCAGATAATCAAGATTGGAGGTGGGGTGGTGTGGAACAATGCTTGGCACGCGCTGCGGTGCAAACCCAGCGGCCCACGTTCGATCTCCAGCCAACCGACACAGACCCAGCATCGTCAAACATCCGCCAAGAACGACACGGCATCCAGAACGCTGCTCAGTGATAGATGTCTCGGACAGTGGTTCTCAACATTTGTTTGGATACTACAGTAAAACCTTGGATTGCGAGTAACTTGGTCTGTGAGTGTTTTGCAAGACGAGCAAAAAATTTAAATAAATATTATTTTGATAAACGAGCGAGGTCTTGCAATACGAGTAGCACGTGTATACGCTTTGTCTGCCGAGCGTCACGTGATCACAGCTATTTCGATTTAAAGCTTTCGTGACTGCAGGGATTCATCTTCTTGGTTCTTTCGGTAAAGTCACGTAGAAGGGAAGTAATAAAATAATAAAAATAAAACATAATAAAACAATTCTCACGACGTTTCGGCTACAACGCAAGCAGCCGTCTTCAGGTGAAGAATGAGACAATGCCAAGCTAGGAGCTTATATATAAGCTGCGTTGGAGGTGGAGGAAAGAGCGCCTTAACAAAAGAATGTGCATGTGAAGAGGAATTTAGCATATTCATGGAAAATGCGTAGGAGGTGGGCGGGGGGGTTTCAAAGTCATATTATGCCCATGCATTATGCAGGATCAACAGCACCAAGGGGGGGGTGCAGGGATTAGCAGTAACAAAGGAAAGGAATGTTAATGATATGTAGCTGCAGTTACTCAACCACCACGTAGAAAACTAAAGTATAAACTACATAAAAAACTAAAGTATAAATAGCATAGCACCATCAGTATACTTACTATACTCTACACTAAGCTTAGTTACTAACAGCAAGTAATACATTACAATTCTACGTCGTAAAAATTATATAATATGCTTCCATCTAAACTTTATTCTATTGCATCAACGAGCATATACCGTACTATATACTGCCAACATTAAATTATATACTGTATTGCTGTAAACCAACCTATATCTTATACATTTAATATAACACTATGTATTATTCTACCCACCCTAATGTGTGTCGAAATGGTTTATTACGTCCTTCCAATGATTGCTAAGCCAGAATCCATCTTCTCGGTTAAAATTGTCTCTGTGTTTGTATATGTGGATCGCCTCATGAACGAATCTCTCATGATAGCCAGATGGCTTGCAGAGAACCTCTGTCTTGGAGAAGTCAATGTCATGTGAGCCCACTGAATTGTAACAGTGATCTGCCACGGCTGAGGTGTTTGTCCTACCGTGTTTCAGGTCTGCCTTATGTTCACGGATGCGGTCCGAGACATGTCGTTTGGTTTCTCCAATGTAACTGCTACCACAGAGGCAACTTAGTTTGTAGACGCCAGGGTACTGTATGTCTGGAACCACATCTTTTACAGACGGGACCAGATCACGGATTTTATGTACTGTGTTGAATCGGACCTGGATCTTGTGTTTAATCAGGATTTTGGAGATCTTTTTTGTGACCCCAGCAATGTAGGGTAAGGTGATGGTCTTGAAAGGCTCCTCAACAGGATCCTTCTTGATGGTTGGAGTGATGGCTTTGCGGATTGTGTAGTCGGAGTAACCATTAGCCTTAAGAGCTTGGCGTACGTGTTTGAGTTCACTGGAAATGTGTTCATGGTCGGAGATGCATTGGGCTCTATGATATAGAGTCTTGATGAGGGAATTCTTCTGGGATGGATGGTGGTGGGAATCCGGTTTTAGATAAGCATCCGTGTGGGTGGCTTTCCTGTAGACAGAGTGGCTCATTGAACCATCAGGTCTCCTTTTGATTAGGACATCCAAAAAGGGTAGCTTGCCATCATTTTCGACTTCCATGGTGAATCTGATGGCTGGGTGTATGGAATTGATGTGGTCGAGAAATTGGTCTAGAGCAGGCCGGCCATGTGGCCAGATGACAAAAGTGTCGTCTACGTACCTCTTCCATAAGGTCGGGCGTAGAGTGGCAGTCTGGATGGCGTCCGTCTCAAATTTCTCCATGAAGATGTTGGCTACAACCGGAGATAGGGGGGAGCCCATTGGGGTGCCCTCAATTTGCTTGTAGAAGGTTCCATTCCAGGTGAAGTATGTATTGGTTAAGCAGTGTCTCACCAGGGGGGGTACCCCAGCATTCAGTCCTTGATGAACCAAGTCTTCAATGATTGCGATGGTGTCAGGCACAGGCACCTTGGTGAACAAGGAAACCACATCGAAACTGACAAGCAGGTCGTCTGGGGACAGGGCAATCCCCTTGATTGTCCTGGTATCGACAATCGTACCCTGGCGTCTACAAACTAAGTTGCCTCTGTGGTAGCAGTTACATTGGAGAAACCAAACGACATGTCTCGGACCGCATCCGTGAACATAAGGCAGACCTGAAACACGGTAGGACAAACACCTCAGCCGTGGCAGATCACTGTTACAATTCAGTGGGCTCACATGACATTGACTTCTCCAAGACAGAGGTTCTCTGCAAGCCATCTGGCTATCATGAGAGATTCGTTCATGAGGCGATCCACATATACAAACACAGAGACAATTTTAACCGAGAAGATGGATTCTGGCTTAGCAATCATTGGAAGGACGTAATAAACCATTTCGACACACATTAGGGTGGGTAGAATAATACATAGTGTTATATTAAATGTATAAGATATAGGTTGGTTTACAGCAATACAGTATATAATTTAATGTTGGCAGTATATAGTACGGTATATGCTCGTTGATGCAATAGAATAAAGTTTAGATGGAAGCATATTATATAATTTTTACGACGTAGAATTGTAATGTATTACTTGCTGTTAGTAACTCAGCTTAGTGTAGAGTATAGTAAGTATACTGATGGTGCTATGCTATTTATACTTTAGTTTTTTATGTAGTTTATACTTTAGTTTTCTACGTGGTGGTTGAGTAACTGCAGCTACATATCATTAACATTCCTTTCCTTTGTTACTGCTAATCCCTGCACCCCCCCCTTGGTGCTGTTGATCCTGCATAATGCATGGGCATAATATGACTTTGAAACCCCCCCGCCCACCTCCTACGCATTTTCCATGAATATGCTAAATTCCTCTTCACATGCACATTCTTTTGTTAAGGCGCTCTTTCCTCCACCTCCAACGCAGCTTATATATAAGCTCCTAGCTTGGCATTGTCTCATTCTTCACCTGAAGACGGCTGCTTGCGTTGTAGCCGAAACGTCGTGAGAATTGTTTTATTATGTTTTATTTTTATTATTTTATTACTTCCCTTCTACGTGACTTTACCGAAAGAACCAAGAAGGTGATCACAGCTGATATAAGAGTGCTTTGGATTACAAACACGTTTCCGGAACGAATTATGCTCGCAATCCAAGGATTTACTGTACTGTGATCCCCCCTTGTTTAATATTGTACCACCGCCCCCCCTTGCCTGACCCAACGTGGTTATGAGAAATCAATGTATGAATAATGGACATCAATATTGTAACCGATTGTCTATTTTGTGAGGTAAATCCTAAAACTAGCCAAGTAGCTGTGAGCGAATGTAAAAGTTAAACGGGCGCTCTGCACGCATCACATAGTTTGTTCTTACTTGCTGGTTACTCTTGGAAACCGCATTGTTTATGATCAATGAGTTAAAAAATATATTTTATATCGTCCTAGGTTGCCGTATGGATTTAATTTAATCGTAGTTATTTTATATGGGCAGATTCATACAACGCAATTTATTCACCGATGACTCTCATGTACGATAGAATTTCACGCAATTAATAAATCGCCTCACGTTACCCCCTGGGAGATTGCGACATTACCCCCGGGGGTCCGCGTACCCCCTTTTGAG